TTCCTCCCTCAAGGCTCTCCTGAGTCACGGGCCTCCTTCAGGAAGCCCTCCCTGGCCCCCAGGAGGCGTCAGTGTGCCTCCTGGGTGCTCCCACAATCCACAGCACCCTCCCCCCTCCCCACACCACACAGCCTCGTCCACCGGCTGAGCTTCTCAGCTGGCCATGGGGTCCAGAGCAAGATGGCCAGATGTACAACCCCCAGAGGACTCTGCCTGTCCTCAAGGCTGGCACATAATAGGCACGCCTTCCCCATTTGATGATTGACACGGGGTGCCATACGCCAAGCGCCATTCTCAGAATGAGGGTACCATGGTACCAGGCTGCCGCAAGGCCCACCTTTCAGGCCAGCCCAGCCTGACAGCGAGCTTCCCCCATGTGATCCTGTGCTTCCTCAGGCCCTGGACTCTGGGCCATGGCACCCTTTCTGTCCCCTCCCTATCCTTGCACCCCCCAAGTGTGGACATACACACTGACCAGATAGGAGGTTCCCTGAGGGCCTTATCTCTGCCTGGATCCCAAGGGTGGCCCAGAGTTATGCACAAAATCTGAACTCAGCATGACTATGAGTGAGTCCACGAAAAGAACCTAAGAGAACAGCAGCTGAAGGAGACGGTCCAGGCCCTGCAGTGTCCACTGTCAACCAAGCTGCAAGCCACCCTCCACCTCAGGATTGCAAACACAAAAGAAGGAAAGTTTTACCATTTTTTAAAACATACTTTTGGGAAATGTGGATGTCATTCTCCCCTGGATTAAAACATAAGGAAACAGAGGTGGGCAATTGGCCAGGAAAATCTCAGATGCTGATGACGAGGTGCTGTTGGTCTTCAGGCAGAGCAGGCCACCACACGTGGACTAGGCAGGCTCCCAGACCAGGAAGGCTTGTCTGCAGTTTTGTCTTGGGCTAATTGTGATGTGAGTATGTGCAACTCTGGGACTTTCCCCTCTTGTGGACTGTGCAGTAGAGACTGGCTAGAGACTCACTAATCCCACTTCTTCCTGGACACAGAAAGACTGCACCTGCCAGTCTGCCTTGCAACGAGCTTGAGGCCATTTGCCTGGGTCTGAGTCAATGAGATGTGAATAAGAGTGATGCACACCATTTAGGGAATCGCCCATAAAATCATGTGCATGGCTGCCCACAGCAATCCTGGAGACTGTGTGTCAAAAAGATAACGTCACAAGATGGAAGGAGCCTAGACTTCTGAGTCATCACTTGCAGAAGCACTACCCGACCCATGTCAGACTGTGACACAAGTGAGAAATGAGACTTTCTGGTGTTTAGCCATTGATATCTGGGGGGGTGTTTGTTATAGAAGTTATCATGATCCATGCTGACTAATACAGAGTAGGAATGCATTCAAATACAAGTAACCAAAAGCCAATAAAAGTGGCATAAACAAATATAGGGTTATTTTTTCCCCATCACAAAAAGCATCAGAACAGGCAGCCCAAGCAAATTAGTGGATCAAGGACACCATCCATCTTTCTGCTCAACTGTCCTTGGGGTATTGTCTTTGTCATGCTGGTCAACGTAGAGTCACAAGACAGCTGCTAGACCTCTGGCATTCCATGCACATCCCAGGCGAGAAGAAAGAGAATAGGGCAAAAGGCAGGAGGCCTGCCAAATCTGTCACACCAACTTTGACATTCTGTTGACGGAGTCTGCAGGCACCAGAGATGGGCCACTGGGAATGATATTGTTATGTCCACTCAGTCCAGTCATGATCGTCTCCTAGGGCTAGTGCCAGGGCACACTCTCCCAAGACCAGAAATCTATACAACTGCCTGAACAAGCTCAGCTCTGCAGTGCGGAGGGGACAGGAGTGGAGCAGGCATTGTGTGGCCAACAATGGCCCTCCACAGTGACTGGCACCTCCATACTCTCACTTCTATCAAATCCCTTTCTCCAGAAAAGGCTGTGATTAAGAGGTCAAAGACTGTCTGGCTGGCACCTCTGTCCTTTAACTCTCTGGGCCTCTGCTCAGTGGACCCCAGAGTTCCATTTCGTCATCTTGCACACAGGGCCAACCTCGCTCAGAGTAGAAATGACAGCAGGCTGGTGCTCAGCTGGGTGGCAGCACAGTAGTTCACACTGTTGGAGAGGCTGGCCCAGGACACGACACCGAGCAGCCTCTGAGCTGGCTGCAGTGCCCCTGGTGATCTTCAAGTGGTCATTGGAAATGAGCAGAGAGATGTAAAAATCAGATCACTCGACACTTGTGAAGGTGCCGTGGCGGAGCGGGGCTCCACCGCGTACCCTGCAGGAGGGCGATTGTCCCAGAGGTCTGGCAAACAGGCCGGCCATGAGCATCATGAGGCTAAACTATCCTCAGACCCTTTATACTAATAATCTCATTTCTAAGAATGCCCTAAGGAAGCAATTCCAGGCGGGATTGTTTATGGTGATGGAAAGCTTAGAAGAGCCAAAATAGCTGGCCCTGAGGAATGGTGGTTGAAACAGAGAGAGGGAGAGAATGCACAGAGAACTCTGCGTAAAGCACCCTCGGCGAAGTGCAGGCAAGAAGACGGATGAATACACAGAGGACAGACGGATGGTGGCGTGCACTCATAGAATCTGGTGGTTGCCAAGGGGCTGATAATGGGAAAGTGTCCTTGGACAGAGAGCCAGTGAGATAATGGACACAGCGTGATTACTGGTGTGTGAAAAGGGAGAAGGAAACTCTCCAGGACATAACCCCGGGCTGTGAAAACATGGGTCATTTTTGTCCCTTTTTTCTACTTCATGCATGTTAATTTTTTTCTTTCATAAGTATGCACTGTTTTGTAATAATAATTATTTAGAAAAATGCGAGTTGTTTGGCGAATTTGGAAATTGGACGGGCTGAGGGACCATTTGCTGAGCTGGGCAGTATTTGGAGAAGCTGCCTTGGCCTGCTCTGGGCCTCCTCCTGGTGACCACAGTCCTTGGTGGCCAACCTCAGGGTCCCACCCCCATCCTGTCGGTGGAGCCATCTTCTCTGCCCGAAGCCCCAAGGCCCCTCCAACATGGTAGGCTTCAGCCGTGACAGCTGGTGACTGTCTACAGGTTCCGTCAGGTCCCGTCACCTTGACTCACCGTCACACTCAGCCACCCCTCCTGCTCCAAACCGTCCCTCAGGCTGGTCTTCCTGCAGGCAGAGACCTGCCTTGTCACATTGGCTCTGGTCCTTCCGTTCCACCTTTGGCTGAATTTGTCCCACATGCTGGGACACGTGTTGAAGTCTCCTATATGCCAAGAAAGGGAGAGATCCAGATTTCCTTTTATTTTTATTCAAAGTTAAGTTGCTAATCTTCATGCATATTTCGTTGCCCCAGGCTGTTGGGCTTTGCTGCCCATAATATCCCAGAGTGGAAATACACCAATTGGCCTGTCCCTTCCCCCAGGCCTGCTGATGGGATTTGGCTGTTCCAGGGTCCTCTGTGTGGGAAGGCATGCCACAAACATCCTGGGAGCACCTGAGAGGCTGCTGTGCTCTGAGGTTGGTGAAGGTCGGCTTCACCAAAATAGCAACAGGATGTGAGGGGGGAAACTGGAAAGTCCAAAAAGATCATACAGACTCTCTACAGAAACTTCTCAGTTTCTCTGTAAACATAAAATTGCTTTTAAAAAGAAAGTCTGTTTAAAAACAAACAATAAAAAAGCACAATAACCTTTTTTAAAGTTAAAATTATAAAAACCAATTTTGATTTTCAAAGTTACACTGAGATGTGATCAGATGACAGACAGCAAGGGCCTGGGAGACCAGGTGTGGGGCCTCTGTTGCCTTGGCTGGGGCAGGAGGGCTCTGGGCCGAAAGCACGTGGCAAGCTGCTGCGGTGGCCCAGGTGTCCTGTTGGGGGCTGACTCACAGGCTGGTGTTATTG